CTCCACCCCCTCGACTGTTACCAAAACCACCCTGATTCCCAAAGCCACCTGGATTACCACCAAATCTTCCACTTCTTTCTAACTGTCTATTGCTATTGTGCTTAGGTTCAGCATTGGATATATGGACGCTGATTCCTTTAATGATCAAGTCCTCTCCACAAAGAGACTGGGCAACCTATAAGAAATAGGGGATGTAAATAAAGGAAATTAAACCATTGACTCATGCACCAGAGTAGCAATCAACTTAGATTTCAAGCCAGTGTCTACGCGGGAGGAAAAATAAGCTCATTTCATTTAAACCCGTAAAATGGACTTTGGCTGTAGTAACAGCAGCACGGACTTTTTCAGCTTACTTTCAAAAGATATAAAACACTCCCACTTAAGCGCCACATCCTGAAAAAATACCTAAAGGGTTTACGACGACTATCTAGACCCATACATATCCCAAAGCTTACAAGGTGAGAAAGCTCAGCTGAGGACGGCAATCAGCGGGATGGGAAATCTTCACGACAAATTACCCAGTCAGAGGACTATCATTAAAGAAAAAAGTACCTGATCGTCTGCAAACGTCACGAAGGCAAAAGCCCTGAACGGTTTGGGAATGAAGACGTCTACCACTTCTCCATACTGGCAAAAAAACTGCTGCAGCTCATCAGCGGTCATGTCCTCTGTACAGCGCCCAACAAACACCTTCCTGCTTCTCAAAGGCTCATCTGGGCTTTGCTGGTCAAATCGAAAGGGAAGAAAAACATGAGAAATGTTTTAGGAGCTATGAAAAGAGCATCATGATAGAGGATGTAACGACAGCAATCTGCCTTTTATATGCGATTAGTCATTAAAAAGGAGATACTGGGGCGCCTGGGTGACGCAGTCGGTTAAGCGTCCGACTTCAGCCAGGTCACGATCTTGCGGTCCGTGAGTTCGAGCCCCGCGTCGGGCTCTGTGCTGACAGCTCAGAGCCTGGAGCCTGTTTCGGATTCTGTGTCTCCCTCTCTCTCTGCCCCTCCCCCGTTCATGCTCTGTCTCTCTCTGTCCCAAAAATAAATAAATGTTGAAAAAAAAAATTAAAAAAAAAAAAGGAGATACATTCTTCTGTATTAGCACTTCTCTTTAATGCTTCAGTGAAGAGTAACATTTTATTTTTTAAAGATTTTATTTTTAAGTAATCCCTACACCCAACACGAGGCCTAGACGCATAACCCGAAGATCCAGAGTTGCACGCCCGACAGACTGAGCCAGCTAGGTGCCTCCAAAGTCTTAAGGTTTCAAGTTCAAAAAGGTTTATTTGGATTAAGCAAAGTCAATGACTGAGGAACGCCCTAGCAAAGATGGTAACTCTCCAAATAAGTCTTGCTTGCTAGGAACAAATTAGGCCTTTGTGACAAGATTAATGTGTTCTCACTGTCTTTGTGCTTTAACACGTAACCACGTAAGAAACTGTTCACTCACCAGAAATAACAGAAAAAAAAAAGAATAAAATGAACGAAGTTTTAGTAAGAGAGGTAATAAACTAAGTATTTCAAACAAACATAAAACATTCAGCATGCATTAAGGTCCTAAGGCTTTAACGAGACAAAATGTTTCAGGAATATACCCGCCACTACCTTTTCCAAGTACATTTACTATTATTCTACAGTGTCTTCTAAGGGAGTTTTGTCAAAATTTGACAAAAATTCCCAAAGCAGAGGAAATTCCCAAAGCAAAATTCCCAAAGCAGAGGAAAAAAGAGTAAAGTACCTTAGAATTAGGAAGTTTACAGTCACACCATCGTCCGTCTATCATATGTCGCTGTGACATTACTTTCACCTGGGTTTCATATTCCGTAAAACGAACAAAACCAAACCCCTTTGAATGACCAGTTTTGAGATCTTTCTTGACCTAGGGGGAAAAAAAAAATCACTGAAATTTACTAAAATCTCACACACTCACACACACCCAAATCAGAGTTCCTTGGTAATTTGAATGGCTTCACTCGGATGGAGTTGCTTAATTAAAATTTAAACCAAGTTATTCTTGAAGTAAAAACAACAGGAGAGTAAATGTTGAATCCAGATCATGTTAATAATCATGTTATGAAACAGAATTTTAACAACTTGGTTTACAATGCAAAGATAAATCAGATCTAACATTTACGTTTTTTTTTAAACTACTTATTTTTGAGAGAGAGGAAGAGAGAGAACACGTGCCTGCACAGAGAGTGGGAGACAGAGAATCTAAAGCCAGCTCTGTCCTGACAGCGAGAGAACGACGCAGGGCTCAAACTCACGAACAGTGAGATCATGACCTGAGCTGAAGTCAGATGCCTAACCAACTAAGTCACCTAGGCACCCCTCTAATGTTTACATTCTTAAATTGGAAAAAGAGGAAATGTGTTTTTATCTTTCTTTAAAAGTTATTTTAGTAATCTCTACACCCAACATGGGACTTGAACTCACGACACGGAAATCAAGAGCTGCACGCACCTCCAACTGAGCCAGCCAGGTGGCTCCCCCTTTTAAAAAAAAAATAGGTGTTTTTTTAGGGACCCAGGGTGGCTCAATTGGTTGCCTGGCTTTTGATTTCAGTTTAGATCATGATCTCAGGGTCCTGAGTTTAACCCCTGCATCAGGGTCCACACCTGCGTGGGGTTCTCTCTCCCTCTCTTTCCCTCCCCTACTCACGCTCTCTTCTCAAAGTAAATAAACTTAAAAAGTTTTTTTTAATCTCCCAACAATCTAAGTTAATATAGAATATATGCATAAAGGGAAAGAGTATAACCCAAATTTTTTAAGTGAGCTCTAGACCCAACATGGGGCTTGACATCAAGAGTCACACACTCCACCAACTAACCCCGCCAGGCACCCGAACCATTTCGGCATCCCCTATGCATGCATGTAACAAATGTTAAAGATACCATCTGCTGAACATGAAGGGCAGTGTCACTAAACTGCAGGAATTTGAGGAAAAGAATTCACTGGAGAAGAAAAACTGTCAAATGAAATCAAAGTTCACCTGAACCATAAGAACCTCTCCAAAGGTACTAAAATATTCTTTTAGATCCTGTTCAGTCGTTTTCCACGGGAGACCCAACACTATTAAATCAGATGTTTTCTGGACAGCTCTTTTCACTTTCACTGCTGAAGAAGCATCCGTCTCGTCCATTTTTCTTTTGTTATCTGAACAAAAGGAGCAGAAATCTCTCAGTGAACTCCCCATTTAACACTTCTTAGGACGTATTAACTCCTACACCTAACAACGACAAGCAAAAAGATTCTAAGAACAATAAGATACTGAAAACTTTTGGCAAGGAGTGACATCAGCTCTCAAAGACAGAAGGAGGGACTGAATAAGTGGCTGAAGGGCTTTTCTGGTGCGAATGCAGGGACTCCCTCCCACCTCTGGTTTTGCAGGATCTCAAGATTACAATGGTTTGTTCTCTCCTCTCAAAAGGCACATCAAAACAAAACTAATTCTACTTCATTTTGGACTTTAAAACACACTAAGAAGGAAAAAAAACAGGTTAAAAAACAGTGCTGTAATATCTTTATGCCTACTAAACATATCTGCTTACCTTAATGCCTGTAAGTTAAAAGTTTCGGACCAAAACACAATCAACTTTTATCTCCAGCTGTGGATTTTAAGGGTAATTTCAAATTTCTTTTTCTTTCTTTTATAAACTTTCAACAGTGAACTCACATTGATTTTGTAACAAAAACCAAAATCTTAGGTTATTTTTCAAGACCAGTATTTGGGGGGCACCTGGGCGGCTCAGTCGGTTAGGCGTCTGACTTTGGCTCAGGTCATGATCTGTTTGAGTTAGAGCCACATGTTGTCAGGCTCTGTGCCGACAGCTTGGAGCCTGCTTCTGGGATCGTGTCTCCCTCTCTGCCTCTCCCCCACTCTCGCTCTTGCTCTCTCAAAAATAAACTAACATTAAAGCAAACAAAAATCCTCAGTATTTGGAAGAGGAAAGGAACTAAGTGAGATTTTTAGAAAGACTATTTTTTAGAGCAGCTTCAGGTTCCCAGCAAAACTGAAAGGATGGCAGAGACTTCCCACACACCCCCTTTACCTTCACACATGGATAGCTTCTCCCCATTATCAATAACCCCCCAAACCAGTATGGGACATTTGTTACAACCGATGAACCTGTATTGACACGTTATCATCTAAATGGCATTTTATTTTTTAATGTTTGTTTACTTTGAGAGCGAGCATGGGGAGGGGAGAGGGAGGGAGGGCATATCTCAAGCAGGCCCCTCATTGTCAGCGCAGAGCCCTACACGAGGCTCGATCTTGAGAACTGCAATATCATGACCTGAAGCAAAATCAAGAACTTAACCAACTGAGCCACCCAGGTGCCCTTACATGACATTTTAAATTTGGGTAAATATTAATCTATAGCCAATGGCTCGAAAAACAGCATACGAAAAACAAAAAACAAACAAAAAAAAACCCAAGCTGCTGTTAAAAATGTTCTCAAAGTGTAAGTCAAAGTCTTGCATACTAATCAAAAATGATACTGTGTTGGTATCGCGTTTTAACAAAAGAGATCAACTACAGCAAATCCCTTCTGCTGAAATGTACCTACTTCCTTGGCACCATTCCTTCATATTTCCTTTTTTTTGATTTAGAACATCAGTGATAAGGGGCAGTGAGAATAAGACCAAAACCCCAAATTATAGTTGCACTAATTCAGATTTGGGTTACAGCCATCGATTTAAGGGGCAAAAACATCAGATCAACTGAATGACTGATGGAAGCCTGCAAGGACCAAAAACCAAAGCAAAACATCAGGGCACCTGAAAAGAATCTATTTACAAGAGGCTGATTACTGCAAAGCATTCTCAGCGGTTCCTTAAATTTGGCATTAACTTGGCAGCATCTGTTCACATAATACACAGTTTTCTCTCTCAAAAAACTTCTGTATTTCCAATTTTCACTAATTAGGACTAGCAGCTAACAGTAACATTTAAAGAAACACTTGGGTTATAGGAGATGTTCCGCCGTGAAACGAGGCCATGATCGGACTTAGAATGAGAAACAAACGCTTGAGCGTTGCAAAGCCAAACGGCAACGAACCTTTGGGATAGTTGACAACATATACCAGATTTCCCCAGCCGGCTTCGGGAGCATGCAGAATTCCTTCCACCAACCGGACGCCTCTCATACACTGAGACACTGGATTCCGGTAGCGCAGCCCACAGGCCCCTGGAAACTGGGCTGTAACCGTGGACAGCAGCACCGTCCCGTCGTCTTCTGATGGTATTTCAATGGGCTCGTCGTTCTCATCTTCGGTTACCCGAATATATTCAGACATCTTCTCTTAGTTTTCTTAAAGGAAAAAGAACCATTAATGACCGACACTCGAGTCAGAGTAATTGTTTCCTTATCATCACCTGGTTAACACCACCACCACGTCCCTGTTCCGGGGACATCTCTGCTGTTTGGGCTCTTACACGCGCGGGTTACCACCGAAACGAGGCAAAGGCAAGGCCAGTGATTCTTAACAAAACACGATGCCTTGCTATTTCAGTCCTGCTATAAACACTTGCCGCGTGCCTACTAGGCATCAGATGCTCAACTGAAAACAGTCAGTCGCAGGTGGCAAGGTGGTTACTGGGGCGGGGGAACATCCGGAGAGGATACCAAACAAGCAGTTATTTATTACGGCCCTGATATACGCTGCCAGAAAGAAGTAAATAATCATCCTGGGGGCTGAGACGTGTGTGGGAATGAAAGCTGATGTCCCTAAAAACCAGATGCAGAAGCTGTGTCTTAAGAAACAGCGGCAGCGAGCCAGGTGAAGAGAGCAGGAAGAAAAGTTCCTCCCTGTTCCTCACTGTGGGACTTCCGGGGGCTCCCCACACTCGGGCAAGGACAGAGACAACAGGTCCTTCGCGACGCGGGCCGCCACCTCCCACAAGCCAGCGCGTGGCGGCCGAGGGAGGGGTTTTTCGGCGCGGCCCGAGGACCAGACGCAGGGGCACAGGGCCCAGGCTGGCGGCGTCCCCCGGCGCTTTGCGAAGCGCCGAAAGCACAGAGCCCTGCCAGGGCCCTGAAGCTCCGCCCCGGGCTGCACGGCACCGCAGGCCCAGCGTCCCGGCTTCGGCGCCGGCTGCCACCCAGCGCCAGGCCCCTAACGTCGCGCCCGCGCGAGCCCGCTCGGGCAGGACCAGGCGGACCCGGCCCCACAGCTCCCTTCCCCGGGCGGGGGCGGAAGCCGCTGCGTCCGCCACGGGCCGCGGCGTGCGGAGGCCGAGACCCCCAGGGCGTCCTCGGTGAGAAGCGGCCGCGACTCACCTGTTAGGCCGCTGCTAGGAAGCCCGACAGGGAACCCGAAGCAGCGACGGTTCCAGGAGCAGCCCAGCTACCGCTTCGCTCCCACAAAATGGCGCTAGGGCCGCCTCCTCCCCCCGCCGGCCGTCGTCCTCTCCCACCGGCTCCCCGTCGGGAGGGGAAGGACGCCGCACCGAGGCACAACGACCTTCTCCCCAGAGCGGCACAGCTCCCTTCCGGGAGGCTGAGCAAACAGAGCGGACTTAAAGGCGACAGTAAAACCAGCACCTGAGCCTGAGAGGCTAAAAGTTGACAAAAATATGGAGGCGTAGGCTGTTAGCTCCCCCCACGTAGCGTAACAAATGGCTTCGCCCGGCCAACCGTCGGCCCCGGGTCTCGGCCGAGCTCGCGCACTTTCAAAGTGCGCGAGACTAGCGCAGGGGCAGGGCTAGGAGTGGCGGGGCGGGGCCGGGAGACGCCAGGTGGGGCGGGGCGGGGCCAGACCGGAGCTGGGAGCTGGATCCCCGGTCCGGTTGACCTTCTGGAGGCCTGAGCGAGCCCGGGAGCCCAGCCCCCTTTGTCTATAAAGCCAGCCAAGTGCATCCACTCCTCCCTCCCCTAGCCGATCTCCACACCTGAAAAGAATGACCTTGTTTGAAATAGTCAAATGATGGAGCCTACTATGTGCCAGGTGTTTTCCACGTACTCACATTTCCGATTGCCCCTACAGTCTTGTGTGTGGTAGGTACTATTGATTCTATTCGCCTGTGCCGATGAGGAGGAAACTGAGGCACAGAGAAATTAACTGTCTTGCATAGAGTCCCTCGGGTAGTAAATGGTGGACCTGGGATTTGAACTCTAACCCTAATGCTAAAATATTCCAGCTCCAGGCCTCTGATGATAATACTGTACTTTGTCTACATTAGGACACACCTTGCCCAAGCTCACAGGGCCAGTAACTGGTGGAACTGGGATTTGAACCCAGGCAGTCTGGCTCCGGGCTGGAGGAGCTCCACGGCCACCCCCTTGAAGCTTCCTAGGGAGTAAATGTCAAGACCTGCCAGTCCTGATGCCTGCTGTTCATGTTAATCAGATTATGCGTGAATCAATTCGCAGGGATAAGGGAAGAGAGGGTGGGGGCAGACAGACACCCAGAGGCGGCCCTACACACAGGACGGCAGAGCTGGGCATGTGGCTCCTGATGGTCACTAACGTTTTGCAGCACCAGATAAAGCGCAGAGGCCTGAGTCATCTAAACTCATCCACCCAGTCATTTGGGGAGAGAAGTTAGTTTTATTATTCCCGTTTTGCAGAAGAAGAAACTGAGGCTCGGAGGCCAAGTGACTTGCCTGAGGTCACACACTTGCCCATATATGTCATCCAGGCCGTAAATTGCTCTCCCCCGTTCTGTCAGACCCTGAAGCTGTGTTCCATCCTCCAGCCTGGCCCACTCTCTGTGCCATGATTGAGACTGAGGCATTTAGTGTGGGCAGCTCTGTGGGCCCTGGATGCCAGCCATAGGGGGGTGGAGCAGGGTATGCAGAAACTGGAGAAAAGTCAAGCAGGGACAAAACCACAAAAGCCGTCCCTCCCCCCAGAAGTTTCGCGGCCAGTTGAGAAGACCAGTGAACACCGTCTTGAAGAGGGCAAATGCTCCTTCAGGAAGAGAATCGATAAGGCCAGAGGGAGGCTGGACAGTGTGGGATCCTTCTGCTCTTAATTGCAATTCATCTCTGAGCTTCAGCTTTACAGCGATGATCATATCAAACATTCTACTTGTTTGAAATGTGTGTGTGTTTTATTTTATTTTATTTATTTAGTCTGAGAGAGTGTGGGAGGGGCAGAGAGAGAGGGAGAGGGAGAAGCCCAAGCAGGCTCCGGCACCATCAGTGCGGGGCCCGACGTGGGGTTTAAACTCATCAACCATGGGATCGTGACCTGAGCCGAAACCAGGAGTCAGAGGCTTAACCACCTGAGCCACCCAGGCACCCTGAAATGTGTTTCGTAAGCTCCCTTGGTTTGTTGGTTTGTTTGTTCATATCCTGCACACATTAAGCCTGAGGATTTGTTAGAAGGCCAGACATTCCTGTTCTTACCCATCTCCTCTCTTCTGAGCATTTATTAAATGCTTTCTGAAGATACTGGATCAGAAAGGATATACCGAGCTCTCACGGCTCATCCAGCACTGTGCCAAAATTACAGTGTAAAGACACACGAGGAAAATGAAAGCCAGCCACAGCCTGCATGGAGTGGTCTACAATCCAGGTGGGGGCTGGGACAGAGAGTAGTTGGGAAACAATCCCAGAGGACATAAAGGACACCGGTGCCAGTGCTAGGCAGATGCTGAGGGACCGAGGGGCTCCCCAATAGCTCTTTGGGGTGCTAGCTTCCAAGCACAAGGATGAGGAATCTCAACTGGAAAGAAAGGACACTAGGCGGAGAACCAGAATGTCTGGGAAAGGGCCCCAGTTTTCACTCTAGTCACTTGGCTGTGTCTCCCCTAGATTCCCAGCTCTGCCAGCTCCAGAAAGTGTACATACATTCCTGAACGCTGAAAGAACTAAGACAATACAAGTATTTAAATAAGGGCAACTTTGTCAAGGTTTACTTAGTCCTGGTGTTTTTAGGTCCCTAAATTGGAAGCCGCACCTCCAACTGGTCTAGGTCTGACTTAGATTTTTCTAAAATTTTTTACTCCAAAATATATTTTTTTAAGTGTACATGGATGGAATCTCTACACCCCACGTGGGGCTCGAACTCGCGACCTGGACATCAAGAGTTCATGCTCCTCCGACTGAGCCATCCAGTTGCCCCCTCTGAAATCATTGAAAACTTACGATAAAGTTGTGAGAATAGGGGCGCCCGGGTGGCTCCTTCACTTGAGCATCTGACTCTTGATTTCAGCTCAGGTCATGATCTCCTGGTTCGTGAGTTTGAGCCCTGTGTCAGGCTATGTGCTGACAGCGCAGAGCCTAATTGGGATTCTCTCTCTCCCTCTCTCTCTCTGCCCCTCCCCTGCTCACCCACATGCTCTCTCTCTCAATTTAACTAGATAAACATTTAAGAAAATTTTCTTTCAAAAAATGTGAAACTAGAAATAATTGAAGCAAACTTACAATGAGTTTTAGCATAGTCACCGCCCAGATGCAAGGATCATTACCATTTTGCCCTATTTGTTTAGCTAGCTAGCTAGCTCTCCATTTTTTGCTGGACCATTTCAAAGTAGGTTGAAGTTGTTGTGACATTTCACTCTTCAATACTTCAACCTGCATCACCTAAGAACAAGGACATTTTTCTACATAATCACAATGCTGCTATCACACCCAAGAAAATTGACAATGATTTCCTAATAGCACCTTGTATCCAGTCCGTATTCAAATTTCCACAATTATTCCCCTAAATGTCTTTTACAGTTGTTTTCTTGAATCAGGATCCAGTTAAGTTGCATGCATTGCATTTGGTTATTGTGTTCGTTAGTCTTTTTAATTTTTTTAATGTTTATCTTTGGGAGGGGAGGGGCAGAGAGAGAGGGAGACACAGAATGCCAAGCAGGCTCCAGGCTCTGAGCTGTCAGCACAGAGCCCAACGCGGACTCGAAAACATGAACAGCGAGATCATGACCTGAGCCGAAGTCAGACGCTTAACCCACTGAGCAACCCAGGCGCCCCATGCTTTAGTCATTTTAAATCGAGAATAATCTCCCCATCCAAGATACTGACTTTTGGAAGATATCTGGCCAGATAGTTTGTAGAAGGTGGTGCATTTTGGATTCATTAGATTGGTTCCTCATGGCATTACTTAGCTCATTCCTCTCTCCCCTATTTTTCCTGAGATCACATTTAGGTTAGACATAATGGCCTGAACACTTTGTGAGTAAAGCTACGTATGTTCCATTGCGCCCCATCAGGAACACATTATGCCTGGTTGTCTTATTTTCGGTGATGCTAAATTTGATCTCTTGGTTAAGAGTATGACCACCACATCCCTCCCGGAAAAACATATTTTCTGTCTTTGCAATTTGCAAGTAATCTCTGGGTGATACTTTGACACAGGCAAATATCCTGTTTGCCTACAACCTTTCACTTCATGGTTTTGCATCCACTGGTGATAGTTGCCTGATTCAGTCACTTTGTTGGGGTTGCAAAATGGCAAATTAAAAAAATTTTTTTTCTAAATGTTTTTATTTATTTTTGAGACAGAGAGAAACAGAGCATGAGCAGGGGAGGGGCAGAGAGAGAGGGAGACACAGAATCCGAAGCAGGCTCCAGGCTCTGAGCCATCAGCACAGAGCCTGACTTGGGGCCTGAACTCACAAACTATAAGAAGTCAGACGATCGACTGACTTCGATCGTCAGGCACCCCTAAAGATTTTATTTTTTAAGCAATCTCTGCATTCAATGTGGGGCTTGAACTCACAATTCTGAGGTCAAGAGTCACATGCTCCACCAACAGAACCAGTCAGGTGCCCCCCACCTCTCTCTCTCTCTCTCTCTCTCTTTTGATAGTCACTATGAACTCTTGGATTTTATTTATTCAATGTTTTACAATAAGTTACAGTCATTAGTGGTTTTAATGATCAGATTGTCCTGATGATGGCCGGGGAAACCCTTTCAACTAGCTTCGGGTCCTTTGAACGCGTCTCCATTAGTCTTTAAGCATGCTCTTGTTTCTGGTACAAGATGTTCCAGGTTCACCTGGAATGAATGAATTCCTCTAAAGAGCCCTGATTCCTTTTTGTGAGAAAAGGCATTTAGAAACTAGAATCTGGACCTTAGGTGTACTTATTGCTACTTTGGTTGTCACGAGCATTTCTGAAAGGTAAAATAACAATATTGTTGCAAGCTATTTCAGTTTCATTATGATTGACTTTCCTTTTAATTTCAGTATCTTAGAACCTGCCAAAGTCAAGATATGCCTCCCCTGTTTGACTGAGGTCTTAGACTTTCGAAATTATTTTTTGTGAACAGCCAATTAGTGCAAAAATACCCAAAACAAAAAACTGATTTTCCCCATAGTTATACTTATACATACTTAAATAATAAATCTATTCTACGATACTTTGATGTATCCACTTTAGAGATGATTTTGTTGATTTCCTATTACTATCAG